ATACACTACATATCTGTATAAACGGATTTATTTTAAATTTAGTCTTCAGTGCAAACGATGTGAAATTTTAGTTGAAATATGAACTGAATATTTATATTGAATTTCCGTTAATCACTGGAATTGTCTGCACTTTAATATAATATTAAATTATATAATATTAAATATGAAATAAAAATATTTAATAGCTTAATGCAAAGTTTTCATATAAATTATGCTAATCTCTGTTACAGTTAAACAAATTCAATATAGCATTACTTGTTTGCTTACGACTCGTTAGGTCTGGTCTTTAAAACATTTTAAAACTAATGTCAAACCATTAGTGAATATAACGTTAATATAATATTATATTATTATCTCATATATAATATTAATTATGAAATTAAACGATTATTATGTAAATATTAAAAATATAAAAGTAATATTACTTTTAAAACAAAACTTAAGATGTACTAATAAAAATAAAATAAAATGGTAAATTAGTTTGTTTTCAAACCAAATAACAGAAAAATGTTTAAATTAAAATAAATATTTGACTAAAACCTTCAAATTGATGTAAATATAAGATGCATTAAAACATAATTGTAATGTTTATATACAACACATAAAATACAAACAATTTTAATGAGTTTTAAACACATTTTTCGTATAAATATTGAACTGATTTCTAAAAAGTAAGAGAAAGTCGATTGAAATGATGGAAGAGATCTAATTAGAGGTTCAAATCGAGTCAAATGTATTTATAAGTAGATTAAGTCAATAGAATATGACCTCAATTCAAGCCAAATATCATTTTCTAAATAATCGCAAATATGCTTAAAAGAGATGATAATTATTATAGTTTTCTTCAAAATTCGTGTATTAAATAAATGACAACAAAATGTATATTTAATTGAGACTAACTATCGTTTTAAAACATATCATGGAATTATGGCACCATTTAAATTATGGTTAATTTAGAATTAGTGAAATTAACACCTACTTACTTTGTTTACAATTTTTTATTGTCGTTAAAATACTTTCAAGTGTATTAATACACACACTTCCAACAAATTAGTGTATTATATGTTTATTGATTATACAAATTACATGCAATCCCTATAACTTATACTAATGTTATTAATGATATCTCATTATTTGCTATATGTATAATTTTAAAATTTATATTTTATTAATAAAACAAATAATAAAAATAATAAATTGTTTTTAAAAAACAAAACCAAATAAATTAAAGCAAACAAAAGCTTTTATTAAGATTTTATTTTTAACGCCAAATTGTTTATTAGCAGACATTTAGATCTCGAGATGAATTAAACTATATTTACAAATATGTAATAATTTGAAAATATAGGACATATCCTAAAAACAAGTTTAAGAAAACAAAATTCAAGTCATAATAAATTGCTATTTCACGGCCAAAGACACACCGATTGGCACTTATATAACAATAATGTTATTCTTCAATATTAGACCACATGTTATCTCAAAACAAGTAAATCTTTTATACCTTTGTATAAATCTTATGACTAACAATATTTTCCTATACATTATTCTTACAAAATCTTTCTAATTATAGATTGTTTTGGTAAATAATATACTGTTTTTAGACACAATTTCGACATAAACTAAGCCATGGCTGAGCGTTGGCACCAAAAACACTCACTATATTATCAGACTTTCTACTCAAATATCAGCCAAAATCACCACAAAATTCTTGAATTTGTTTTTTACCTCATGTTTGGTGTGATTTGTTTGATGTTCACATTCACTGCAAAATATAGTTGTATTGACTTTCTAATACTGTTGTCATTTTTCTTATCACACTTTAACTCACTTTTAGATATAAATACTAAAGAATAATGTGAAGAGTGGATGACTTTGAAGATTTATTTGCACTCAAATCAAACTGAAAATCATATTTTAGTTTAAAGTGAAAGCATTGATAACTTTATGATGAGATTTGAAAACATAAAACAGTACTGAATAGTCATTCCGACGAGTAATTACAGGTGTTGTTTGAAAAGTCGATATCCAGGTCCTAATAACTGGTGCTTTTGATGGCATTTCCCTGAACCCAGACTATAATCTTTTAGGTTTGGACTAAAATTACAAATAAAACAGTTGTTTGCGTTAATCGGTTAGTAAAATGTAGACAAAAGCAAAGCGAATGAATGAATAAATAAATAAAATGCATGTATGAATGAGTATATGATAAGTATTAGTGATATTATGAATATTATTGATGCATAAAATCAATAGAAGAAATAGAATAAAGAAAAAGCCGTTTCCAGTGAGACGTGAGCCGAGTATTTAGTTTAAAAGGTTGACCAAAAGGTGGGTTTTATGAGCATTTCAGTTGAACTGGTGGTGGAATCAATGGAAACACCTTTTGATTGAAGTCTCTTTTTTCATAAGTGTTGACCTCTTTCCACATCATTCTCTCAATCATTTTCTTCTCTCAAAGTGTTGTTTTTGTTTGCTTTTTTCAAACAAGCGTTGGATTCAGTAGTACTTCGAAAGCCATACAACTAAATACACTTCAAAACCATTATTATAATAGTGTCTGAAAAGCCCAATGCCTGCCGTAAATCAATGAAAAACCGTCTCATAAGTTGTCGGCTATTTCTATATGCAGTAAAACGCGATTCAACTTTTTATTTGTCGGCTTTTAAATAATGGATTTTACTTTTATCTTAAATTTTAATTTAATTTTAATACAAGTGTTTGAAATCGCGTTTAATTCTCATATATGTTACGCTCAAGAAATGGATGTCTATTACGAAACACATAAGTCTTTGATATTAGGTATCGATTGAAACGATTGTTTTTCAAGAAAGTTTCAATGTTTAGCAAAAATATCTGTTTTATCGGTTAATATAGAGAACAAACTTCAAGATCACGATCACAGCGAAGAAGGGGTTTCTCTTAATAGCTATGCACTCGAGTCGATGCCATTGGAGATCATAATTCTTGTGGAGAAAACGATGGCTCTCTTAGTGTTCGACAAAACCGGTAAAATGCTTGAAAAGTGCCAACTCTTTGATCTCGAAAAAGACCAGTTGAAGGCCGATATGACGGCGTCGGCCACAGGACTGCCCGTCATTAAGAGTGACTTCAACACAATGATGGAAGCGATCAACAAATGCCGCGAATTATCTGAAAAGTTGTCTCCCGTTTCGAGTTCAGAGCAAATATCGGCAAACATTACTGAAAACTCGATTTCACTGTTTTCTCTTTGGCGGGGATTAATACCCGGCACTAAAGTAAGCAAACATTTACTTTTTTCGTGTTTAGTTGACAATAGATGTGTATTCAGTGAATGAATGACAGGTCTGTCACAATCTAATCTAACATTGTATTTGCTTTTATGGCCAAACATTTGAATGAGTTTTTGCACGAATACAATCGTTAGTCACTATTGTATCTGAAAATTATGGATTTATTTGTCAAATAATAAAACTTCATTTTTATGTCGTTAAGAATCACATTAATTAATGTAAGAATTGAGATAATGATCACCATTTCCTCATTAAGTTAGTGATTGAATAATATATTTACTGTTAATTTATTAATACATTATAAACAAATAAACAATAGAAATGAAGTGCAATCATAGACTCTGATTATAAGATCATATTCTTGTCAACAATATTTCAATCATTGATTGCATTATTTCAAAGAAATTTATTACATAAATATATTTTGTATCCATTGTATAGGTTCTATATTATACGATAGTTTATAGTAAAGTTTATAGTAACTTTATATTATAAGTTACTAAAGTATTTTAACATTACTTTAACCAAATTTTACAAGTTTTAATTTAAAAGAAATAATTTCCTATTTTCTAAACCCAAACATTGAAAATAAATGTTGTTTTAAAAGCTTATTATATTTTTCTTGTTCCACTCTTTTGTCTGTAAAAACATCGTTTCAAACAAACAGTCAAAACATTTGAGACAAAACTCACTGAACATTATCTTAAAGTCAGACAAGTTTTTCTGTTTTGTTAAGTNATTTTTCTTGTTCCACTCTTTTGTCTGTAAAAACATCGTTTCAAACAAACAGTCAAAACATTTGAGACAAAACTCACTGAACATTATCTTAAAGTCAGACAAGTTTTTCTGTTTTGTTAAGTTTTTTTTATTATAATTGATAAAAACATCGGTTCACACAATGAAAACATATGTTTTCGATATGAAATGTCTATTAAGTATTATTATTATAAACTGATTGAAAATCACTCAATTGTGGAGCAATTGTCAAACAAATTCTTATATAAATAATTCTCATAAGAAATCAAATACACTGTTATTTTCTTGTTGTTATGTTTACAAAACAATTTTGAGTCAACAATAGAAAAGATTCAATGACTTTGTTTATGAAATCATGTCAAAGGAAATCATAAATTCTAGGTTTACTCCAATTTTATAGAATTTTCAAATAATTATATCAAACTTAAAGTTGAGTTGAAGATAAATTTTTAACCAAAATTGTACCCAAGGTTAGTTTAGAGGGCATTAACGCTAACTAATTGTGGGGTTTGCCCGTAGTTTTCAAAAGATTATTATACTTTAATGTATTTTAATTTATAGTTATTTTAGTACATTATTTTGATTAGCGATCAGTCTCTCTCTCTCTCTCTCTCTCTCTCTCTCT